TTTTTTTTTTTCCCCTTTTGAATTCCATTTATTTGAAGTGAATTTTTCTTTTCCAATTGAGGATCACTGGAGGGAGGTGCAATATCCAGAGATTTTCTTCTGGTGGTTTGAAATAATTCCTCTGGGAATATTGAGACAGGGGTTGGAATTGGTTGTTTAAAATTTTAAATTTCGATTTGGTTTTTAAAGTGCAGAAGGAACAAGAAAAAAATTAAACTCTAGAAAATTACAGAATAAAATTGGAATAATTTGGGGTTGGAAGGGACCTCCAAGATTAGCTCATTCCAAGTCCTGTGGGCAGGGAATTTTCCTCTATCCCAGGTCCATAAAATCATCAATATGGGAATTTTTGGTCCAGGAAGATCTTGGAAGAAAATATTGCAAAATATGAAATTAATGCTGAAAAAGGAAATCGTGTTTTCTACTTGGAAAAATAAAGCAACCTTGGAGGCAGAGTGTTGCAACTCAGCCAGAATTTACATCCCAAAATTCCCAAATAATCCAAATCCTGAAGGGAATTATGTGGTGAAGAGTCCAAGATTTGCTGGTGATGAGCAGCTTTGATCCTGCAGGCAGGAATTTAATTCCATTTTCCAGAGGGATTAATGGAACCTCCCAACATCTTGGGATTCCTGAACTCATCCCAAATATCCCTTCCTAATCCCTCCTGTGAATCCTTGGCATTTTTTTTCCAGGTATTTCGTCACCTTTGCCAACTTCGTCGTTGTCCACGGCTTCGAGGAGGCCACCAAGAGCAAGAGGTCAGTGGGGTGGGGAATCCTCGGGAATCCTTGGGAATCCTCGGGAATCCTTGGGAATCCTCAGAAATCTGTGGGAATCCATGGGAATCCTTGGGACATGGGGATGTTTTTGGGTTCTACACCAAACCTGAGTGAGAAAATCCCAGAATTGGATTGGAAAAGACTTCAAAAATCACCTCATTCCATGCTGGGACCCCTCCCACTATCCCAGGATGCTCCAAGTGTCCATCCTGGTCTTGGATACCCCCAGAGAGGGGGGTATTCCTCTGTCCCACCCTCTGCATCTCTTTCCAGCCATGCCCAGCTCCTTCTGGAGTTGTAAACTTAGGATTTGGGGATCAAGGGAAAGGGTGGGACCTGACAGAGGACACTGCGGGAATCTGGCAGGGAATTCCCRCTTGTCCCAGAGTTTTTTGGGAATGGCAAATGTAACTTTAAAATGAGGAGATTCCCAACTGCTCATTCCCCGGTTTTCCATGGCTTTCTCCACCCTCTGTGGGGTGAGATCACACCGAGAACTCAGAAAACAGAGGACTGGAATTTTCCAGGATAATTAACAAACCTTTCTCATAATTCCCCCTTTCCAGTGAGGCCTGGAAGCACCACAAGACAGTGCTGAAGCAATTCCTGACGGATTTCACCTCTGAGAGCTCCCTGGCGCTGGCCCTGCACACCACCCTCCACAAACCCATCCGGGATCACATCCAGCACTACCTCCTGCTCCTCTCCAAGCTCCACCAGACTCTCCAAGAGGTGGGAATTTCTTTGGAATCCTGATTTGCTCTTGTTGATCGGCTCTGTGGATGTGCCAAGGGAGAAGTATTCCCTAAAATCCAAGAAAATAGTGTTTTCAACATGGGAAAATAAAGCAACCTCAGAGGCAGAGTGTTGCAACTGTGCCAGAATTTACATCCCAAAATTCCCAAATAATCCAGATCCTGAAGGGAATTACGTGGTGAAGAGTCAAAGATTTTCTGGGAATGAGCAGTGATCCTGCAGGTGGGAATTTAATTCCATAGAATCCTATGGAAATGGATTTTGGCATTGGTAGCACTTTTGCCTTATCCAAGGCTGCCATAAAATCCTGGAAATTAAGATTTGAAAAGAATTCTGAGATCGAATCCAACCTTTGACTTGTTCTAACAAAACCTTCAAACGTCTGGGCTGGCTTCMCTTGGTCCAGGATGGAAGCGTTGCTCAAATCTTTCCTTCTTTTCCCAGGGATCCGAGAAGGACGTGGTGGCCACTGTCATGGAGGAGTTTGGGAAGCTGGAATCTTTCATCAGCCAGGTCCTGGATGAAGCCTGCTTTACCAAGGCCTTGTGGAAATCCTTGGGCTACAAATTCACCGTGAGTGCTGCACRGGAAAAGGGGCTGGGATGGGGAGGATTTTCACATATGCGTGAGGGGATTACCACAGATTGGGAATTTGATATGGATTGGGAATTTGATATAGATTGGGAATTTGATACAGATCAGGAATTTGATAGGGATTGAGGATTTGAGGGTGGGAGAGTTGGAGAAACTCCCAGGGGGTTTTAGTGCTTAGTTTGTGCTCAGTGGCATCTCTGTCACTTGAACCCCAAGTCAGATGATCCCTGCGGGAATTCCTGGCTGGAATTGGGTGTTCCTGGAATTTTGCTGATGCTCCATCCCCRCAGGACATGCTGTGCGTCCCCGAGCGGAGGCTGCTGGAGGACAGCCGCAACCTCCCCATCGCCGGCTCCAACCGCTCCGAGCGCATCCTACTCTTCGACGACGTCCTGGTGCTCATCCAGGTCAGGCTGGGCTGCTCTGGAGGGGTTGGATAAATGACACTGAAATTCCAATGAAAYGGCGGGAATTCCCAAAGGAATGGCAGTAAAATCCCAGTTCTTTTGATGTTTGTTCTTTTGGGTTTGGCTGTTGGGAAAAGTTGGGGGAAAATTTGTCTCGGAGCCATCCAGTTGTGGTTGGCCCTGGAGAATGAAGGAAATTTGGGAAGGAGTRGAGGAGATCCAGATAACATTTATCCAGTAAATTTGGATTATCCAACCACCACAGGCACCTTTGGAATAATCGAAGACCTTTCCCACAGGGAATTTTGGCCCTTATCATTCCAAAGGATCTGATGGTCAATGATGTGATTCCATAAGCTCCAGTGCATTGCAATAAATGGGATTTTCCATGGCTGCAGATGTTGCAGGTGGTTTTGGGGTTGTTTGGGGAATTACTGGGTCTGGAAATATCTACAGCTATGGGAATGGGGTGGAAATTCCCTGCTCCACCTGGACACTGTGGATTTCGGWTCCTGCTGGGAGCAAGGGCCCCCAGGCTCCCTTGAAATTCTGTGAAGAATTTGGGATGCCAGGATCAGGATTAGGATCATGGCCTCACTCAGGTGACTGGGATGGGAACACGGGATCAGGAGATTCCATGGAAGTGTCTCCATGGTCAGTCCATGATTCCTATCTGTACCTCACCTGCTGCTGCTGCGATTTAGTGAGGTTTGGGAATTAGAACTGAATTTGGATTGAACTGGTTTGCTTTAGCTGGGAATCTTGACATCTTTCCCTTTCCTGTTCTCTCATATCTGGGAAAACAGTGGGGAATTCCTTGGAAAACTCCATCCTCCTGGGCAGCAGCTCTGGATGTGGGGCAGGGAAAGGAGGTAGAAAATTTTTAAAAAAACCAACTTTATCTGTTTTTTTCAACCATTTTAGTTTATTTCTAAAATTAAATTTGTGATTTTTGGGATATTTTTCGTGGTGCCACTTGGAGTCCAAATCCTAAATAGATCCCAGAAGGGGTTGGATTGAAATTTAAAGGGAATTTAAGGATGAACCATTTCCACCCCATTCCAGGGACACGTTTCACCATCCCATGGTGCTCCAAGCCCCATCCAGACTGGCCTTGGACATTTCCAGGGATCTAGGGGCAGCCRCAGCTGCTCTGGGAATACTGTCTGGAATGATTTGGGAATGTTGCCACGTGATAGGGAAGAAACTCTTGTGGAGATCAGGGTAGTCTGGGAAGGTTTTCCTGCTGGTTGTAGCCATGGAATGATGGAACAGCTTTATCAGTGTTAAAATAAGAACTTTCCTCCTTTTCCTGTGTTTTTTTTTCCATCTCCAAGGGGTCTCATCCTAATGTGGGATGGATTCCCCCTTTTATTCCCAAAAAACAGGGAATTTGCAGTTCAGCAGTTCCATTCCATGGAATGATAGAGTAAAGGGTGATGTTTCCATCAATAACACAACCATCTTTTTCCTTTTTTTCCCAGGGAAACAGCTTCCAGAGTTTTGATCTGAAGCTGGTGTGGGTAGATGAAAACTGTGAAGAGAAATCTGCTCCAGGATTGTGAGTGAGAAATTCCTGCTGGGAGTTAAAAAAAAAATGAAATAAAAATGTTCCAGTTGTTGGTGACAGYGGGAGAAAATGATACTAAGCTTTGTCCCATCACCTTTCCGAGCAGTGGGATTGGTTCTGGGATATGGATAATGGAGGCACCTCCCAGATGGGGTCACAGMAGCTTGGGTTTGCTGATGGATGGAAATCCCAGGATCTTTAAGGCTGGAAAACGCACTGGGATCATCGAATCCAAGCTATGCCCAATCCTTGCGTTGTGCCCAGCCCTGAGCTCTGAGTGCCACGTCCAGAATTCCTTGGACACCTCCAGGGATGGGTACTCCAAACCTCCCTGGGCAGACCCTGCCAGTGCCTGGCAACCTTTTCCATAAAAAAATTCCTTCTGATGTCTGACCCCTCCCCTGGCACAGCCTGGGGCTGTTCCCTCTCATCCTGTCAGTTGCCAATTCATTCTGAAGTTATTAAATCCAGACCTGGAGAAGTTGAGCTCTCTCCAGAAAAAAAAAACACCTGGAGAAGCACCAGGACCCCCTGGAGGGCAATGGGAAGAGCAGGAATTTGCTGTTGGATCGGGAAATGCATTTTCCATCCTGTTTTTTGYTCCCAGATATAGCCTGCACATCACGACCCCGGAAGAGACGTTTGTCCTCTCTGCCAAGGACCCCCAGATGAAGGTCAGGCTTTGGGATTTGGGAATTTATTTATTATTGAAAGCACAGTAATAATCCATCTGGGGGTGGATTGGGATTTTTTGTTCCTTTTCCAAGATAATCCTGGGTCATATGGCCAGACGGGGCTCAGAGTTGATGGGTGGTGGGAAATGTTGGTGGGAACCTATCGGTTTCTTCCTGCTTTTCCTGAGCTGTCTCTTTTTCAAATCAACTTCAACTTCCTTTTTTTTTTTTTTTTTTTTTTTAACTATCCAAGTGAAATTTCCTCCCTTCTTTTAAAATATCCAAGTGGAAATTCCTCCCTTTCAGTGCCTTGGTGCAGTATCCAACTCCCAGGATAACCCCTGTGGATGCTGGAGATGGGCTTTGGTGGGAACCCATCGGTTTCTTCCTGCTATTTCTTGTGTATCTTTTTCACAATCAACCTGAACATTTTTAAAGAATTTTTTTTACTATCCAAGTGGAAATTTCCTTCTTTTTTAAACATCCACGGGGAAAATTTCTCCCTCCCAGCCTTGTTGTGCCTTGGTGCAGTATCCCACTCTCAGAAGAACCCCTGTGGGTGTTGGAGAGGAGCTGGATCTCCCCAGCTCCAGTTCCAGATGGGAACCCATTGGTTTCTTCCTGCTTTTCCTGATGTGTCTTTTTCAAATCAACTTGAAATTTTCTTTTTTCTTTTTTTTTAAATATCCAAGTGGAAATTCCTCCCTTTCAGTCTTGGTGCAGTATCCCACTCCCAGGAGAACTCTTGTGGGTGTTAGAGAGGAGCTGGATCTCCCCAGCTTTGATGGGAACCCATTTCTTCCTTCCTGCTTTTCCTGACTTTGACTCTTCCGAGGCAGATTTTCTCAGAATGGTGCTGATCCATCCCTTCTCCCCATTCCCGTGTCCCCAGGCTGTGTGGCGGTGGAAGCTGGAGCAGGCGGTGCGCCAGGCCCTGAACGGGAAGCGCGATTTCCCGCTGTGGGGCCGGAGCGGGGAAGGCGGAGGGCCCCCRAAGCGCCGCTTCTTCAGCTACGCCTTCCGCGCTGAGGGCAGGCTCCGCGGGGCCACCTACGAGGGCGAGTGGCACCGGGGCAAACCCCATGGCAAGTAAGGAACCTCCCAGGCCCCTTTTCCCTGTGGGACCAAGGATGGAAGTGCTGTTCCCATGAAGGTTGGGAAGGCCCTCAAAGGCCAACCTGACCATGGCGGGGTCACTCAGCCACATCCCTGCTCGGTGTTTGGGCTCTTCCCAAGGGTGGTGGTTTTGGAATGATTGGATCATAAATGAGGTCRTGGGTTTGAGTCCAGGCTGGGCTGGGCCAGGCTCTGGGGTGGTTCYGGCCTYGCTCAYTCCCAGAGGGAGTTCTGGCCTTGARAGCAGGCTWAACAAAGCCTGAGTCCTGAACTCGGGATTTACGGTGGATGTCTCACCTGTGGTTTATGGATTAAATCCCAGAAATACGATGTTGATCCCATGGAAGGAGCTGCCTGGGCTGCTGCCTCAGATTAGGATTTAGGCTCAGCCTAAAATCCAGATCTTGGGCTGAGTCGTGCAAACCTCACCCCCACAATGAGGAAAATCTCCTCACTTGTAAAGGGTGGAACAGTTCCCTCCCATGCCATCCAAATCCCTTTTAACTTTATCCAAACTCTTGACATCCAAACTTTAATCCAAGGAAATTTTAAAAAAGCTGAAATACCAAATTAACTCTAATGCATTTAATTGGAATGTGAGAGCTGTTCCCATCAAATATGTTCCTGGTAAATCTGAGTTTAAGCTCTGCCAGAAGGGAATGTCTGTAAATCAAGGATCAAATGGTCCTGGCCAAAATTTGTTTGGTATGTCATGGTTTTACTTGGTCTGATTTGGTATCAGACAGAAAGATCCTGGCCAAAATTTGTTTGGTATCAGGCTTTTTTTTGGGAAGAAACACGGAATATGACCAGCCTCCTTAGACACCGAAACATTTGGAAATTTATGTTCTKTGAATTTTAGAGTTTGCTCTTGAAGCAAAAAGGATGAAAAAAYKCATTTTAAAAGACCCTAAAAATAATGGAAGGATCCAGAATATAAATTTTGGGTGGAATTTTAATCATCTCGTTCTGAGCCCAAATCCAGAGCTGAATCCTGAATATTCTGTGGGAGACGTTGTGCCGTGTCCTCAGCATTAAAGAGGAGTTTAGTGCAGGATGCACCTGAGGAGTCACCTTTGCATCATCCCCACCTTTATTCTCAATGGAGACCTGTTTAGATTAATTCCCTGGTTTTATCTCCTCCTGCCTCAGGGCTGGAAAATGGGGATTAATCCAAACCTCTCCTGCCTCAGGTGAGGCATCCCAGGAGATCTATGGCAGAATAAAGGGATTTCAGGAGTTTGAATTCAAGTTCCCTTCCCACTCCTGAAATCCCTCAGCTGGGATTTTGCTGCTTGGGTTGTCCAGAGCAGCGTCCCAGCCTCGGTGGCTGCTCCAGGATCTCTGAGGGAGGAGCATGTCAGCGGAGCTGTGGGAGGGGGAATGAGGACTCTGGCAAAAACATCAGCGTTCCCCCMCTCTGTGTCCCAGAATTCCAGGTGWCCTGGGGTGGGGGAAGGRCACACTCCCACTCAGGGGTGGCTCAAACRTCCTCGTGGCTAGAGCAGCCATGGAATTATGGAATTTCCTGAGTGGGAAGGGATCTGTAAGGATTGTTGCTCCAGCTGCTGGCCCTGCACAGACCCCCCCAACAATCTCACCCTGTGCTTGTCCAAACACTCCTGGAGCAGCCTCGGGAATGTTCCCATTCCCTGGGCAGCCTGGGCAGTGCCCAGCACCCTCTGGATGAGGAACCTTTCCCTAAATCCACCCTAARCCTCTCCTGGCTCAGCTCCAGCCATTCCTTCATTCTCTTCGGCTTTGTCCTCTTTTTCCTTCCTACCAACATAGCAAAGGAAATTTGGATTTAAAATACATCCAAAGTGTTCTCTGGAAAAACTGAGAAACCCATCCACCTGTCTGGTGTGGGTGTTTGAAACAACAGCCTCKGGGAAAGCCAAACAGCCTCCTCCTGGTTTTGGTGTTGCCTCATCTCCTGTTAAACTGACCCCGAGGTTTAGACTAAACGTTGGGATGGAATTCCTGGCTGGGAGGGTGGGGAGGAGCTGGCATGGAATTCCCAGACAAGTTGCAGTTTCCCCTGAATCCCTGGGAGTACCCAAGGCCAGGCTGGAGCACGCTGGGACAGTGGAAGGTGCCCATGGCAGGGGTTGGGGGGAGATTATCTTTAAGGTCCTTCTGACCCAAACCATTCCATGATTCTCAAATTCCATTGTGTCTGGCAGGGATCTGGTTGTCTGGGATCTGGTTGTCTGGGATGAGGTGGGAATTAAAGCTGTCAGCAGGTGGGGGTGGAGTGGGAGACCAGGAAGGAGGGAAATGGCTCTGAAGCTGGGCACAACCAGGCAGGAATTTCACCATCATTGCCCATTCCCGGCTCTCCCTGCTTTGTTATCACCTCCTGTACCCACTTTTCCAACTCCCACACAAACCAGATGGAATTAATGATCCCCTGGGATTGCTGTTCCTCTCTTGTTTTCCCAGTGTCTGCCATGATGGCATTCTGGGCTGTGGTGCCAGCCTGTTGTCTGTGGGGATGTGCCAGGCTGGAACTCCCGCTGGACTAATCCCTGTAATTAATTAATCAAGGATCGTGTGCAAGGTCCTAAAGGCATGGCCCAGCACCTCCACAAAATGCTTTTGGGATTAAGGAACGTGGAATGGATCTTCCCACTCATTCTGGAATGTGAAAACATTATGGGATTAAATCCTYAYGGTGAAAAYCAARGCCTAGAGGTRYCTTTTGTGTCTTTGTCCTCCGAKGAATTTTTTTGRCRTTTGCYGTAGAAGCTGGGAATGGTTTGRGTTGGAAAGAACCTTGGGAAAAATCCAACTCCCACTGGGCCCAGAGCTCCATCCAAGCTGGCCTAAATATTTAGGCTATGCTTGGTTCCAGCTGGGAATTTGTGATGTCCCTTCTGAGACAATTCCTTGAATTCCAGGGGGACCCTGAAGTGGCGTGACGGACGCAACCACGTTGGGGATTTCCAGGAGGGCCTGGAGCATGGGTAAGCCTTGGGAAATGGGGCATTCCCTGCTTTTGAAAGGAACCATGGAATGGTTCCTCCCAGAGGTTGTGACCGGGAGAGGGGACTGGTGGTGACTGACCCCAGGGGCAGGTGAGCAGTTCAGTGCAGAAACTTCCATTCCTCTGGAAGCTGATCCCTAAATCCATGGGAATTCACTCATTGGAAGCCTGAAGTTATTTTTAGGTCCCTTTAAAAACCTTTCTTAAAAGAGTTTTTACTCACGATTTAAGAAGCCATTCCATGAAATTCCATTATTACCGATCTTGATTTTACTGGGAGTAAGACTTTTGGATACCTCATTTTTCTGACAGCAGGGTTTGAAAGGGAAAAAAAAAATCCCAAATAGTTTGTGTCACAAATAGAAGAACATTTAACTCAGCCCTTAAACTGGGGTYGGTTGAAGAGGTGGGAAAAACAACACTGGAAGAAATGCTGGAGAAGGAACAATGAGGAACGGGGAATGCAGCTCCCAAG